CTGAGAAAAAGAAATCAGTTATTTACAGATAGTTGAGCAAAACACCATGTATTCAGTATGATTAAACACCTCAACAATACGACTACCGATGTGTTATTTCTGTGTGCGCATCATACTGTAGGATGCTCGAATCAATCGGATAACATACTGGTCTAGAGATTAGAACTTGTATGCAGTTACAGGCTTGTAAAACCTGTAGTAGACGATTATCTTGATCATAGAAGCAATAATATTGATCACTCTTATAGACATAAGACAACTAGGCATAGTAGCGATTATCAAGTCATTAGATTATCAGAAAAATTCGAATTATGAATAGAATAACTGATCTTATTGTTTAAAAACAAATGACAAACTTGTATCTATTAGCAGTTGCATTTTAAGTAGCTCGAAAATGCAATGACCACTATTTAGATTCATAATGGAAAGTTCAGATATGAAGTAATGTATTCATCATAACTACAAATGTCAACCCCCTTAAATACAAAAATAACTCCCTGTAATTAGTTACATATTAGTAAATTGTTGATGCATCTGCATGTTCATGTAGGTAATAACGACTTATATGCATGATTGTGATGAATTAATTATAATTGAACGAATACTACATACAGTATAAAGTGGTCATCGTTTTCTCCATTATGGATAAGATTTTATTTTGATAAATTACACATTATTACACAGTAATATTAACTGATGATGTTTCGAGCACAAATTATTGCTCATAATCATGTCAAGTCAGTCACACAACTTTTTGCTTCATTTATATACATGAGGAAAATTGATTGGACATTTGAATAATATAAGTATCATATAGAGTAAATTCAGAAATAATATTAGTGTTATCAATAAAATACAATAAGACGGGAAATAAGATTTTTTTCTACAGTAAAAATAAGTAACTTGTTAAAATGTTGTCATGTAAAATTGAATACATTTTAACACTATTTATCATTCTCCAGTTTGACTGATAATAATATCTTCCATATCTCTGGTATTTGCATTGAGTCATTTCTGTTTCATGTGTTGGGTGTAGACTCGATGAACAAGGATTCAGTAATCAACCTCTCTCTCTCTCCCTTCACCTACCTACATTACTTTTTAGAATTTTAACCCTCGCCCACCCTATTGTGTGTTACTGCATGCAGTGCAATTGCTGAGCTTTTTTCTAAATTACTTATCTTTTCGGGGTCAACCATTCTTACCTTAGTTAAATTCTTATGTTCCGACAATCTGACTACCCCCGACCTACTAGTTTGACCTATGTAGTTGACCTCACAGTCATTGCAAGGTATTCTGTAAATTATATTATTCTGCCTAATTGGATCCTTTAACCTATAGAGCTTGTCCCTGCGTGAGTTTTTAGGTTTAAATACCACCCTAATTCCTGCTTTATTAAGAGTCCTACTTAGGGTCCCAGATGTCCGCTCTTTATATGGTATAACAGTGGATGACTTATATTCTCTCTTATTTATGTTATCATTATTAGTTTCTCCATTATTTTTATTTTGCTTTTGACCTTTTTTGATATTCCTAGTGAATTTTATAGGATAGTTATTCAATACCGACGCTTCTCTCTGTTTCATTTCATTGTTTGGGTTTTTTGTACTATTTAGTGCTATTGTTCGGCTTGTTAGACACTTAATTAAGCCAGCCTAAATATCCATTGGTAGAAGGCGTTGGTTTTTTATAGACGCTAGTGTGCAGTTCACCTTCTTTTGTTCGTTTTATTTTATACAGTCTAACATATCTAATTCTCCTCGTCCACTTTCCGACTGAAATGTGAATTTTATTCCCTTTACTAGTGAGTTTATATGCGTCAAGAAGCTAGAGATATGTTCTGTTTGTTAACACTGTGAAAGTGTCATCCACATATCTCCACAATATTTTTGGAGTCATCGTTTTGTAAATATTTTTATTCAATTATTAATTTCGGTGGGATAATTTACGTCTAGTGGCTTTACTATAGATCTGTGAACTACTTTCAATAAGAACTGCTGGTATTATTATATCAATATTCAATGCGTCACTCACTAACTAACTCGAATTATATTACATTTCGCTGCCAACATTCTTGTTGGGCGATGTACGATGTTACTGAGCAGAAAACATGGAAGCAGTGCACTTGCACATGTATTTGATAGTTTAGGTAATTATAACCCTTATAAAAAGTAAGATTAATTTATCTTCTTATTCATTTAGAGATTGTTGAAGTGACTGAACTTCTTTCGATCGTTCTTTAGTCTTGCAAGTTTCTTTAGCAAACTTTTGTCGGACATTAAAAAGATGCTTTCAACGGTCATTCACATTCAAAATTTACGCATGTACCTGGTCTGTTACGACACACTATTCAAAAATTATAAAACCTTTAAATACACGGAAAATTCTTAAATGAAAATTTAGAATCGAGAGCTTCAAAGGCCAGACTAAATCTTCTGAGGAATAGAAACCTGAAAGATTTAATGTTAATACATAAATTTGATGCACGAGACTACAGATAGTTCTTTAAATAATTTTTAACTACTTATAATAAGTCTTATTTACTTCTGACAAACTGGCTTTACACGCCACCTTTCCTTTCTGGATCTGTTAATGAAGTGCTTATAAGTTGTTCCAACCAGTGGAACAATGTAAGCTATTTTTTCTAAACTTTTTCCCGAAATGTATTTTAAATATCCAGTTTACTTTCACTTGACTAGGTTGTACACGTAAAAGTCAGGATTGTAATTTAAGAAAAGTATTGAGACGTTCAGTTACGGTAGAGAGCATAACTCCTGGCCAGGATCTCTTAGGGTGTTTGGTGTTACGCCGGGCTCCTTTTTATTACGCTTTGTGACTTATGACATTAACGCCAGTGATCTTTGAATGATACAACCAAGGCAGATTTTATATATACTAATCAATGAACGTACGTATATATTCATTTAGTCCTTTTTCACAATGCGATATCTACTACGGCAGGAAAGTACAAATAGACTACCGTTATTGACCTAGGATGTCTTCGTAGCATTGAGTAATTGATGCATACGATATCCCAAGTAATTAGAAGTATAGCGTAACGCGATGAAGGCAAGACCAATGCCCACTGAAAATAATTTAAAAATGCCCAGGTACCGTTGGCCTCGAGCAGCACCGTATAGAGAAGGAAACTGAGGCTTAATAAAAGCCAACGTGACCTGACCAAAAGTCATCAATTCTCTTAGGTCTTCTGCATAAGTGGGTTCCTTAATATACTAAACATCAACGTTCGACAACTCGGCTTGAAGTCGTTTACCATACTGCAGAAGTATTCACCTAAATTCTGCGTACCTTTACTAATCTACATGCGATTATTCTTCCAAGTCGCTGCTTGTTCAGTACATAATAATATTTCCCTTATATTATACTTTGAAGTGTAGCAACTTGAACTGATACACTATCTTAATTAATTAGTAAGATTCGGCTTTAAGCACGAGCTCCCACAAGGTATATGGGATAGGCTTTACACCAACACTTAGGTCTAACGGTGACCAACTGCTGAAAATAACTGCGAATATACTGCACTGAGAGTGAAAATATAACACAACCACTTTTTCACATATTGCTTGAATTCAGAAAAGGAAACGAACACATTAACATAGAAGCCAAGTGGGAGTATAAACACTGTGAATAACAACACTTCTGAAACTGTGACAGTTGTATAAATGCTAGGCAGGTAACATCGCCTGTAACCTACCGTATCAAACGTTGTACAATATTACGGCTGAGAATCAGGCCAGAAACGACACTGAAACTGTGCATCATCCTTCGCTTGTAAAGCCGATATGGAAAGAATAGATTTAGTTAGAACTCAAATAGCTATAACAGATATCCCACGTGATAATTTATGAACCATACTCACTGTTTAAGTGATGGTAAAATCTATTCACCCAGACTTCAGTAGATGGGCCAATGAATGAAGAAAATCGGTGATGTGGATCAAAATCGTCCTCAATGGCGCAAATGCATCCAATCCTTGTGGCTTATAACTTCCAATGAAACTATATTGTTCTTCGCTGTTACTATTTCTTTTGTCTCATATCCCTGTCTACGGTCTCCATTTGGCATTTCTTCTCTTACTTTGTGCTACATGGAGTGCACATCGGTGCAAAGTTCTATGTTTAAAACAGACAGTAGATGGGACGTGAATCGAACACCTAAACCATCTGCTTCAGGCACACCATTCTAACAACCAAAGCCCTCGGAAAAGCACCAATGACACTAAATGTCAACAAGATATTTTCAAGAACAGTCAATGGATGCTGCGGTGAAGTTGAAGACTATTGTCTCAACTGAGCCCATCACACCCATAAATTCGATAATACAGTGGGAATGTCAACTACTCGACTCCCTGCATGAACTGAGGCAAACAACAAATAATCGTTATCTTAAGAAATAGAATTCCACTCGAAACTGTCCAGTCTGTACGTTAATCATTTATATGCTTATTCACTGAGGAAATATATAATGGGGAAGTGTGGTAGTTTGTGTTACCGATGAAACTTAATCTCCCTTACTGATTACTAGGACTGCCAAGAAGACCCAACAAACTGAACCAACCACCTCAGTATTTTATGGCCACTGTGGCACGTGAGCAATCCTCATATCCCTATCAGATTATTTACTTGTTGCGCGTATCGTTACTACAAACCATCAGCGACAAGGGCTGTTACTACGGTGACGTCTGAAACCAAACATGATTCATTAGTAGTCCAACTTTAACATAGTGAGCACTGAGGTGGATAGTCCTCAGGTCGTTAACAGGATATTACCTAAGATCTGAAGAGTGCTTGATCTTCGAAGAGAGATATGCGGTGGAAACTAGCATACTAACTTGACAACCTGACATAATTTTCTAAGGATAAACCGTCATGAAGTGAGAAAGTGACTGGTGACGGAGAGCTAAACGACATATACATCTTGAACAGGCTAAAAAATCACTAGGTTTTCCCTGCCAGAGATCAAGTCGAGAAACACAGTGTGCTGAGGATATTTTATTGACAATTAGTTTGAACAAAGAAACAGAAATGACTCGAAATCATTAAACGATATTAATCAATTCCACGTCAAATTTCAGGGTTGCATTTGGGGGTATTACACCTGGGACACCTTTAGCTCCATAAGCATAATCCGGTGTACACGTAAGGTAAGCTCGTTCGCCCACGCTCATCTGACTGACACCTTCATCCCATCCTTTAATAACCTAGGATACATAGATGATAATATTGGTCTCTTACCTTCCCTTTACCGATGACAAATTTAAAAGGATCTTTTCTATCGCGAGAGCTGTCAAATTTCTTGCCATCAGTTAGGGTACCAGTGTAATGTACAATAACCGTCTGGCCTGTCTTTGGGAATGTCTTACCATCACCTGGCTTGTAAGAGTCAACGGTGACACCCATGCTAATGGTCGGCAAAATAATATAATTGGCGGCCTTGTTCCCGTCATGTTAAATGTTCAAGGCATCACAGTTTGAAACTAATACACGGTAGGTTTACGAACAATTATCTGCGCAGTTTCAATGACCAGTTTTTACATGTCATTGACTGAAATTGGATTAGGACTTGTCATCTCGAATGTTTACAATTAGCCTTAATATCTGTTTCGGGTCTCAATTTTCAGAAAGTTCAGAAAGTTATCTTCGTAAACTGTTGTGAATCATATTAACACACTCATCTGGTTGGCTCTGTTCAACCCATTCAGCGGTTGCATTCCTGATCTATTACTGCTATCGGTAAGTGAGATTTTCTGAGGCGGTTACTGGAAATTCCTACTTAGTCAGCAAATACTTCAAAGAGAATGGAAATCTTGTTATTAATGAGGGGAATGGACGAAAAGGGAGAAATCCAAGGATAAAGTGTAAAAATAAATGTGACAAAATATAAAGGGCAGTGAGTAACACAAGATAAGTGTGGAGAAATTTCTGTAAATTTGTCTTTCCGTTACATTATTACCGATGTTAAAGTTTGACTCATAGACGGGCAATATTTGCGCGAAGTTAAGTTATCACACCGCTTCATCTTGATTAAAAATGAATGGGAAATTGGAAGATGTCTATCCTACCTATTCCTCAGCATACATGATGAGATGGAAGCTTATTTTGACTGCTGGAAATGTGCTCTTCAGAATTCTGTAAGGAGTTGGCCTTCTTTTCAGCTCAGCAACGTATGTTGCTTGTGATTATCTTCGTTAATCACTGCTTCATGTTCTGTCAATAAACCACCGCTAAGTCCACCATGATTCTAACATCATCCCCATTCAGTCTTTTGTTCATATCTCAGCATACCTCAAGCCTCTACACTGATTACTAATCGTCATAGCTTTGAACTGTCACCATGATGAAAGATTGAGTAGTACAGGTTATTTTGTTAACTACTGACTATTTTCGGAAGTAGTAAGCCTTCTGTAGTAGTCATCTTCCGGCCTTTAAGAATGGAATTTCTATGATGACTATTCATAAATTGCGGTAGATAAAATGTTTCTTCTCAAGCTTCTCTAAAAAGCTCACCTTCAGAAAACCTCAAGGGCTTCTCATTGTGTCACCAGAGAACCCTACGCGAATACTGACATTTTTTTCGGATGCTCCTTGTTGTTCAAAGTATGGAAGGTATGATATCACTAAGACAACGGAAAAGAGATCGCAAACAGTCTTTCTAAATACATACAACTGAAGTCGACGCTTACTCTTCATATGTCTGGACTACTTTTCTGCACAGGTCACTGGCGCGAATGCTTGAGTGGTCTCTTTCTGTGTAATAAAGCGATTATTATCATGAAACAGGTGTAAGGATATATTTAATAACTATTCCCAACCTACGTACCTGATAACCTGTTTCAAATATGCTAAAAATTGGTAGCTTTTGGTCGAAGGTGAGATAAATAACTAGGTCGTGGTCATTCTTAAATGTTTTTCCGACAGTTTTGCAATGAATGCTTTCTTTTTTCCGAAAAATAAGGATAGATTTTCAAGAGATATGATTCGGCATCTGGAAACTTATAAAGACGACAAAGTTTTGTTGACCTCACCTTTAACTAAGCTGACACGCTTGTGTGTAGCCGGAGGCTTTCTTACATTAATTTAAGGAGGGGTTCGCCTTTAAACAGTGTCAAACTTCTTTTCGACGTTAAAATTTTTCTTTCGCCTGCAGCAAACAATAGCTCCTCTCACAACACAGTTTGTTCAGGGAGTAGTAGACACGCTGTCACTGTTTATTCTCGGAAGTGCTTCAAGCATAACATAAGCAACCAGGCTTTTGGGATAGTAACATGAAAACTTACTTACTATCATCCCACCTCGTTTTCTGAAAATAATTCTCTTGATTGCTCCAACTCTCTTCAACAAAATAACTTCGCTTCTCAATCTGGTTTAAACGAAATGGCTAACTTTAATCCTGGTAGCTGAAACCTGGCTAACTAATGAAATACCTGACAGAAAGTTGGTAACTGATTATTATGACATCTACAGGAGTGATAGAGTGGACAAGAGTCAGGGCAGAATTCTAATATTATTCCACTGAGTTCACTGACCCTAAAAACTTTAATAATAATAATTTATATTTTCATATAAACATAAATTTACATGAAAATGCATGCCAGTTTTACGGGCACGATCAAGTATGATATAATGACAAATAGTATATTGTCTACAAGTTAATAATGTTTGAACAGCTAAATATCTGATATATATATATAAATACACTCATTGTCTGACCCATGTCGTATCATTATTGAATTAAACAGTAGTCCTCCAGGTTGCGCAGGAAAATCGACTTCGTTTCGTTGTCAACCCATAGTTGTAGTAAGATTATCACTTTTTCAAAAGTTCAAATTGTTGAATTATATAGTACAAGCAATCGGAACAGATTCTTATAATTTTTATTTTGTAAATCTTCCAGGAAGGTTTCCATCGAAGTTGAGCGACAACCATGTGCTTGAACGCTATTTCAGGAAGAGGAGAAAATCATGCACAGCTACAGAGTGGTATAAAATGCAATCATGAATAATACATTATTGGAAGTATGTTTACAAGAAAAATACAAGAATAAGCTATACAGTACTTGATATGATAGTGCACATTTGCAATGTATGATGCTAACCATATTGGTCTTACCGTAGAAAATTATGACGTTTTCTATGAAAATAAAGTTATTCTCAAACATGAGTGCTGTTGTTATGTTTTTTTACCATCAGAGCAACCGAACTTTATGCGAGGGAAGAGTGTGAATGAGAAAAAAGAAAAACAAAAGAGTAAATTTCAGCTTTACTAAAGGCCTAGGAATTTGAGATAAAATAGAGTATAATAGTAATTAGGTAGAAGGATTATCGTGAAGTATATAAGTGACGTTTTAGAGAGAAGTGGCTAGAAGGATTAGAACCTGTTGAATATGGTGACCTGTAGGATGTCTAGTGAACTTGTGTATGGCCCATGGGATAGCATCTTGACAAGAAACTGAGCAGGCTTGTAGATGTTAGGAGCGAAAGCATTATTTTTTTACAAGCTAAAACTGTACAGTCATCATTGTTTTAGTTTGTTTTTTTTTAATTTTTTTTATAAAGTCAATTTTTTATACTTTCAGTATCTAAACTCATGTTTAATTCTCGAGCTGCCAAAATAATGTATGTTGCTGTCCTACAGATCGGAGCGATTCACATTTGCGACCACTACCAAATCTGCTGATCAGCATGCGCCACCCTCCCTCCGTTTTTGACATTAAGCTCTGAGACATTTTACAATGACTGCAGTTGTAATATTGGATTGCTTTGACTCGGTCCCAATCATACAGTATGCTGCACATTAACAGCTTTCATGGCAAGTGCTTGCAATTAGGTCACATGGCACAATAATACCAGAGGACATTGTTATCAGTATTTTCATCATACTAGTGAACAAGTGGATTACTACAAAAGACTAAGAAATTAGGTTTCCCTTAAGAGTTATGAAGGATAAAAATAGCTAATATTAGAGCAGCTAAGTTATATTCTATTTAGCAGTGATATGAGTAGTGGAACAAACTGTACTATCGACAATTCTCGGAGTCTAAGTGGATAGACCTCCACACGAATGAAAATAAAATTCTCGTGAGATGTATATACAGATTCCCTAACAGCCCTAGAGTGACTGACACGTCTATAGTAGAAATACCAGAGGCTTCACCTACCCTGGAATTCCACCTGAAACTAATTTGTGGCGATTTCTGCCCTCACAGAGTGAGTAAGCACACCTGCACTGTATCTAGAATCCGCGACGGGATCCTAGAAGCTATGGATGTAGGAGAATGGAAGCAGTGCGTACGCCTCCCACCACGACACAAGAATATTCTCAAATTAGTCCTCCGCCACAAAATAGAGCCGATCTCGATAGAGGTGGGGGATAAACTCGACAACGGTGATCACAACAAAATGTACTGCACTCTTCCTCTTCAACTAACAACTAAACACACGCCAAAAACTTCATGCATTTATTCCCCTTGATGAATTTGAATAAAGCAAGAACAACAGTGGTATGCGCAGAATAAGATAGTACCATCACTGCTTATATTGTTGGCTTCTCATCAGCTGCTTACAGCCTAAATAAATTACGAGGTTTGCGTACAGAAAAATTTTAACATACTTGCAAATTTTACATGATGTCAGTTGACAGAAAGTCCCACAATTAGTGAACAGTGCACAGAAAATTGCGCTTAAATAGTTTTTACACGGGCAGTTCAAGATTAAACAAAATAAATGTATGAATACAAAGGTAAGGGAGTTACGTAGTACAGACTAGAAGTGCGTTAGATGCAGAGTGACTAGTAAATTAGGTAACAATGTACTGAGTTCAAATGTAATCACAGAAACAAGAGACGAGCAAATTTACACTATGTCAAAGGGGAGTGAGATTAAAGTTGAAGATTACGTAGTCAAGTGAAGGAGAGAATAAAGACATCCAGTTACCAAGGCAAGGAAAGACTGATAACTGCTTCTTTCTGAACACATAATTCGGGTTTCAGGCGTTTGGTAGAAATTGCTCTGGCGAATGTGAGGAGAATTGAGCTTCAATATCCAATATCCTGATTACGGGCTAGTATAAACCAGTGATTTCTTTGAGCTCCCTTCTTGATTGTAAGGTAGAGGTTCCAGATCTTCGGTGAAGTTATGCGCTGTAAGTCCCGACGCTCGACTGCTTTAGCTCTGGTAGACTCCAAGAGGAGTGGTGCGAGGATTGGTCAAGATGTGGTTTCTGTATTTCTTTATGTGCTCCATTGAACGACTAACTATCAGAATGTACTCATTAACTGATGTCTGAGAGGACAGCAACCATGTAATTTCACTATAAATCAAATTCATGTAATTTAAATAATACTTATCCATGCCTGTACAACTGGTGTGTCCTACATAGATAAGAAATATAAATTATTATCTTGAAGATGTGGTTTGTAGTATGCAGTATGTTAGGACTGAGTTGCTGACGTGAATGGAGTTTGA